ACAGAGCAGTATATCCAACTTCCTTCTTGACGTTAATTCTTGGATGTCTCAAAGGGATCTCAGATTTCAAATGGCGTACTTTTTTTTTTCTTGTACCTTAGATGAAGGTTTACTGAGCAAACTAGCTTCTTATGAAACAATTAATACACATTGTTTTGTGACGTTGGTTGCCGACCCTACAACATGTCAACACTCTCCCCTTCTTGAACTTGGTTTCCCCATTACCAGCTTTCCTGTCCCCTCCTGCCTTCTTGTCCTTGCCCCTGGGATGGTGTGCCCCTTTGGTCTCATTTTGTTTTATGGGCCTGTCTAATCTTTGGCTGAAGGGTGAACCTCAGGAGTGACTTCAGTACTGAGTTAAAAGGGTGTCTGGGGGTCATACTCTTGGGGTTTCTCCAGTCTCTGTGTGGTCTTTTTTTGTGAGTTAGAATTTTGTTCTACGTCTTTCTCCAGCTTTGTCTGGGACCCTCTATTGTGATCCCTGTCAGAACAGTTGGTGGTAGTAGCCGGGCACCTTCTAGTTGTGCTGGACTCAGTCTGGTGGAGGCTGTGGTAGTTGGGGTCCATTAGCCCTTTGGACTAATCTTTCCCTTGTGTCTTTGGTTTCCTTCATTCTCCTTTGCTCCAGATGGGGTGGGACTAGTAGAGTATCTTAGATGGCTGCCCACAAGCTTTTAAAACCCCAGACACTACTCACCAAAGTAGGATGTAGAACATTTTCTTTATAAACTATGTTATGCCAATTGAGCTTGATGTCCCCTGAGACCATGCTCCCCAGCCCTCAACCCAGTAATTCAGTCTCTCAGGGAGTTTGGATGTGTCTGTGAAGCTTCCATGACTTTGCCTTGGTCAAGTTATGCGGACTTCCCAGTATTGTGTGCTGTCTTACCCTTCACCAAAGTTAGCACTTATCTATTGTCTAGTTAGTGTTTTTCCCTCCGCACCCCTCCTCTCCCTCATAATCATCAAAGATTGTTTCTTTCTGTGTGTAATCTTTTCATGAGTTTTTATAATAGGGGTCTCATACAGTATTTGTCCTTTAGTAATTTACTTATTTCATTCAGCATAATGTCCTCCAGATTCATCCATGTTGTGAGATGTTTCACAGATTCATCATTGTTCCTTATTGTTGCATAGTATTCCATTGTGTGTATGCACCATAATTTATCTGTTCATTTGTTGATGGGCACTTAAGTTGTTTCTATCTTTTTGCTATTGTGAATAATGCTGCAGTGACATGGGTGTGCATATATCTATTTGTGTGATGGGTCTTATTTCTCTAGGATATATTCCTAGGAGTGGGATTGCTGGATCATATGCTATTTCTATTTCTAGCTTTTTAAGGAAGGACCATATTGTTTTCCAAAATGGTTGTACCATTTTACATTCCCACAAGCAGTGCATAAGAGTTCCAAGCTCCCCGCAGCCTCTCCAGCATTTGTTATTTTCTGTTTTTTTGATTTGTGCCAGTAATGTTGGGATGAGATGGTATCTCATTGTAGTTTTGATTTGCATTTCTCTGATGGCTAGTGATCTCAAGCATTTCCTCATATGTCTGTTAGCTGCCTGAATGTCTTCTTTGGTGAAGTGTCTGTTCATATCCTTTGCCCATTTTTTAATTGTGTTATTTGTCTTTTTGTTTTAGAGATGTTAGATTTTCCTATAGTCAAATGGTGCACTTTTAGCATTCCTGACCTGAGTAAATGGTACCACCATTCATCTAATTGCATGAGAAGAATTCTTAGTCATTCATGATTTTTCCCATTCTCCCTCCCTCACCAAAGACAATCCATCCTCAAGTTTTACTTCCCAAGGTTTTTTTTTTCAATAATATTTTATTGTGACATTAGTTATATTTTTATATATAGTTTTCACATGTGTCAGCATTCTCTTTAATTGTTTCTGGTTGTCCTGGTGGCACAGTTGTTAATAGCTTGGCCGCTAACCAAAAGGTCGGCAGTTCGAATCTACTAGCGACTCCTTGGAAACTCTATGGGGCAGTTCTACTCTCCTATAGGGGCACTATGAGTTATAATCAACTCGACGGCTGCGGGTTTTATGGGTTCCGTTTCCAGTACTCTAGTTTCCTTACCCACTCCCAACCTTTTCGTGACTCTCTCCACTTCTCTTTCTCTCTCTCCCTTGTCTAAATACTTCATTATCTTTCATCAGGATCTCTACAGTAACCTCCTAATTGACTCACCCACATCCACTCTTGCCCATTGCATCTCCTAACTCATTCCCCACACTACAGCTAGCATGCTCATTTTGAGAGAAATATCTGATCATCACTGCCCCACCCCACCCCCAGTACACAGTTAGAACACTGCAATTAACATCTCAGTGCTCTTAGGGTAGAGAACAAAATTTTTAACATGGCCTATAAGGCTGCCCCTCCTACCTTCCATTTTAAATCATACCTCCTCTTGCTCTGTGTTCCTCCACCACTTGGGCTTACTTTCAGTCTCTCACACTTGCTGTGTGCCCTTCTACTGCGGGCAGGGTATTCCCTCTGCCTCAATGCTTTTCCCTCCCCTCGTGGCCTGGTTATCTGCTCCTTTCCCTTCAACACTCAGCTAAGTTGTTGCTTCTTCAGGGAAGCTTTCTTCTCCCTCCTGAATCTTTCTGACTGGCTAAGGTACCCCTCTTACAACTTTCCATAGTGGATCTTCAGAGCATTTATCATACTTGTAATTTTGCAGAGTATTTGTCTAATTTCTAGTTATTTGATTAAAGTCTGTCTTGAGGACAGAGACCACATCCGCAGTATTTACCATTGCATGCCCTTACCTTCTGGTGGATTGGTATACCAATACCAAAAAAGCCAAACCAGTTGTTGTTGAGTCAGTTCTGACACATGGCAACCCCGTGTGTGTCAGAGAAGAACTGCTATGTTTTTCTCCTAAAACACTATTAACAGGTGAGGACCGTTCTTCCACAACTCTGGAAATGTCCCTTCAGGTTGACATTGGTTCTATCCAAGTTCCTTTTTTAAAAGACAAGTAACTCACAACAGCAAACAGTAAAGTTCCTGTTTACCATCTTTCATGTCTTTTATCTGAGTTTCTCAAAATTTGCTAACTTTTGCCATCAAATATATTTAGAACCCTTCCACCAAGTGTTCCAAAAATCAATCTGTAGGACTCAGAGTTGGGAGCGTAATAGAAATTTATCATAGAGTGATATGATAGAACTGTCAGCCAATAATAACTTCTAGGAGAAAACCCAGTCCATCGTGGACCTGTGTGTGATTTGTGGTGGGGTGAAGACTGATGAACCCTTGTTTGGAGATGCTGAGAAATGCTGGTAAGAACGTCTCTGTGTGGGACAGCGTCAGGGTCATATTTCACTCTGTAACACAGAGTGAAAAAGTGGTGTGGATTATCCACACAATTTCCCTGAGGGAAGTCTTTCTATTTTTTAAATGATAGAAAAATTACTATGGAAAATATCAGTTGTGTGGTTCAGAGCTGTGCAGAAGGAATAGTACATGTGAACTTCCTGAAGGCAAGGGGTAGGAGGATGACTTTAATTTGTGTTAAAGCAGGGACTGAGCTGAGCTCATGGGATGAAGTAGATTGAACGGCTAAGGATTATAGTTCTGATATTGGCTCAGGCATTAAATGTGCGTACATGCTTGACCAGCAATTCCACTTCTAGGAATCTAGCTCACAGAAATACCAGCCTAAGAATATATATAAGGGTGACCAAGGAGTACCTGGGTGGTGCAAATGGTTAAGCACTGGACTATTAACCAAGAGGTTGGAGGTTCGAATTCAGCCATAGGCACCTCAGAAGAAAGGCTTGATGATCTACTTCTGAAAGATCTCAGCCATTGAAAACCCTACAGAACACATTTCTACTGTGCCACTCGTGGGGTTGCCATGAATTGGGGCAAACTCAGCAGCTACTAGTTTTCTGGTTATGTTGCATTGTATGTTGTAGGGAATATTAGAGACCACCTAAGTGTCCATCAAATAAGGGACTAATTAAATAAATAAATAATTTTCCATTTATACTATGGAATACTAGGCAGCCATTGGAAAAATAAGGTATTTTTATATGTACTGATATAGACACATGGAATACTGTTAGGTGAAAAAGCAAATTGTAGCAGAAAGCAATGATCACATTTATAATAGTCAGTATTTGAATAGTACTGATCGTGTGCCAAATACAGTTGTAAAAGCTCTACATGTATTAATTCATTTAATCCTCCGAACAGTCTTAAGAGATGGGTACTACTGTTCTCATTTTACACAAGAGGATACTGAAGAATATAGAGATGGTAAGTTACTTGCTCAAGGCCACACAGCTGGAGGCAGTACGATTCCAGAATCCAAGTTCCCCATCCATTGTATATATCAGGAGTTGGCACACTTTTTCTGTAAAGGGCCAGAGAGTGAATATGTTAGATTTTGCAAGTTGTATGCTCTGTTGCAACTACTCAACTCTGCTGTTGTTACAGTGCGAAATAAAAACAAAATGTGTGTGCTTGCGCATATGGTTTGGAAGCATAAAAACCAAGCTATTAACAGCCATTATCATGGGAGTGGGGGATGTGTGTGTGATTTTTACATTATTTGCATCCATATATTTTAAAGCTTCTTTTTAAAAATTCCATTCCTCTTACCCCCTCCCCCATTGGTAAATCTTTTTTAGTTCAAGTTTTGGAGTATCTTTCGCTTGAGAAATAAGTAGCTAAGAGACTCCTGGGTAGAAGGTATAGGAGCCCCTATAAGTAGGATTGCCAGATTTAGAAAATAAAAATGCAGAATGCCCCATTAAATTTGAATTCCAGATAAGCAATGAATAATTTAACAGGGCATTCTGTATTTTATCTGGCAACCATACTTAAAGGCCATATTTCTTAGCATAATGGTATTGTAAGAATATTTTCAGGATGGCCATCTCAACTCTGTTTACCACATTGCATATGTAAAATTGTCCAGTGCATTTCTTGTCTGGATGATGGTGTATCTACATGCGTTCTCTGACAGGTGGAGCTGCGGCTGCGGCTGCGTGTCCCACAGGTGGGCCACTACGTGGTTGTGGTCGAGTATGCCACGGAAGTCAACCAGATGTCTGTGGTTGATGTGGCTGTGAAGAGCCCTGGGTCTGTCACAGCAGGCCAGGTGAACATCTACAGCTGCAAGTACAGGTAATTGGTCCTACCCCAGGGGATTCATCTGCCTCTGAACCTTTAGGAACTCTGCCTTAGGAACTTTGGTGTTTATTTGGAATGTTGGATTAGAAAGTTGTTTACTTTTTGAGGCAGATGTTGAAAACCAGCAGGTGACTAATCATATGATCCAGCGTCATCCCCAGTGAGGGCACTGGGTGAACAACCTTTTTAGTTTACCCCTGTCACTCCTGGGTGGTGGTAATGAACTCAGTGCTTTCACCTTAAAGTCTGTGTACAGTACATGGGGGCATTGCATAAGGGAAGAGACTTGTTCACAATAATGCTAGAAGATGTACACTTGCCTTCATGTAGAAGCAACGTGCTCTTCAGAAATGGGAATAATTAATGTTTGATGAAAAAATATTGTGTCGAATTTTTTTTTTTTTTTTTTTAAATATTTTATTGTACTTCAGGTGAAGGCTTACAGAACAGATAGTTTCTCATGTAACAGTAACACACATGCTGTTTTATGACATTGGTTAACAACCCCA